GTGTAACTAATGCCAGTCGTCCAGACCTACCCCCCTCCTTAGCACCAGTTCTTGACTGGGAGACACCCAGAGGCCCCTGGTCAAGGATCCACATGGACTTCACCGGACCCACAAAGGGATGTTGTGGCTCCGGGCTTGGATTCAGCTCCTGTGACTGATATGAGTTCAAGTGAGGAAGACATGGCAGAAAAATATGAGCTGGCATGGCTCAGTGATTGGACTGGTAACCAGGATGAGGAGATGGACGTGACAAAGGACGGCAGACCTGATGTATTAGAATTGTCAGGACCTTTGACCTCCTCTGGTTCCTTATCTGATCAACAGCCAGGAATGGCTGACAGGGAAGTTTTGAGAGAGTCTTCTAGTGGAGATGAGAACTTGGAAAATTTGTGGTTAAATGTAAGGAACAGAAGACGGTTGAGAAGGCAAAATCAGCTGGAGCGAATGAGGAGAGCGAGTCAGTAAATTAGCACATTGCCTCAATGAGTATAAAAGGACACAGCTGGGCTGGTACAATTTGCCAGGAACCAAGTGACTTATTTGAGTGAGGACGTTACAGCAAGAAGCTCTGAGATTAGAGATTTATTGCCAGGACTGGTTTGCCAGACAGATTAAAGATTTATGCTGTGGATTGAGATTCCTGCCAGCCGTTATCTTGTAAGACTTCTTTCTGTTTGATTTAATTTGAAACGGCTGCTTTCTATTTTGTTCGTTGGAATTTTGAAGGGGAGTCATAACAAAGGGATATACATATTTAATCATTGTTGATGCCTACTCGAACTGGTTAGAGGTCAGCATCATGAGTTCAACAACGACTGAAGCCATCACTAAACAACTAAAGAAACTCTTCGCCACTCATGGTCTACCAGATGTAGTAGTATTGGACAATGGCCCACAGTTCACAGCTTTAGCTTTTGAACAATTCCTTGCAGAACAAGGAATACGACATACTTTGACAGTGCCAGCACATCTGGCGGTGAACAGAAGGGCGGAACGCATGGTTCGATACACAAAAGAAGCATTAGAAAAACTTGAAGGAGGCGACATGCAAGACAAAATCAACACCATGCTCACCATTCAACATATAATGCCGTGCACATCAACAAACAAGAGCCCAGCTGAACTTTTAATGGGCAGAAAATTGTGCTCATATCTGGACAGACTACACCCCACCTACAACCCCGAAAAGCCACCAGACTCCTCCAGTAAGTACCGCACGTTTATACCAGGAGACGTGGTATACACGAAAAATCTTACCGGAGACCCATTGTGGTTACCGGTCACGATAACGAAATCACAGGCCCCTGATCGTACTGGCTAGAGACAACTGACAGCAGAACGTGGAAAAGACACATCGACCAGCTACGGTCTCGACACATCGAACGCAACACCGACACACCCCGGAACATGGAGCAAACACATCCACAAAACCCAACAGACATTAATAATAAAACTGGGGGTGGGGGGGCTTAAATAATAAAGGAAAAGAAAACCCTCCATTAACAAACCACCAACCAGAAACTGAAAACCCCAAAAGAAACTGCTTACCATTTGGCAAAGTCGAAAGAAGAGAGCTGGAGGAGAACCAGGGAAGGAGCAGCCGAGCCAACTCTACCAGCTCAAGCATGCCAGCAGGGAGCGACAGTGTCCACCCAACTAAACCAACAAAGCACGGCAGGAGTGGTCTGGCTGACTCACCCTTCCAGGAGCTTCCAGAGAGAAGAACAGGAGAGACGGCGGGCCCGTCCGAACCTACCGAAGTCAACACAGAGACTGAACTGCGCAGGTCAACTAGGACCCACAAAAGCCCCGCCTACTTACGCAACTACATCATGTAACCTTGGATCAAACCAAGAGGGGAGGGGTGTTATGTATTGGTTTTGCATACTCATAATACTGCATTCCTATTGGACAGACACTGCCACCTAGCGATTGGTAGATAACAACAGTTCTGATTGGCTGCCTAAGCGGCAGGAGTTTTAAATAAATGCCATTGGTTGCAAGCCGCTATAAAAAGGGCTGCCGTGGCTCAACTTTAGTTGAAGTTATTGACAGTTTAATAAAGAGCTGAACTCAACTCCGGCCTCGAGTCTACTTTGTTCTGGAGATAGAACACTTCTCATTTAGAGAAAACTGAGAAATTGTTCAAAAGTGTAATTTCTAGGGAGAAAGCTAAATTTAGCATGGAACAAATGCTACTTTGCTCCATGTCCAACCCATTTTCCTCCTCTCTAAGTGTCAAGGCTGGTCTCCCTACCCACTTAAGATAAAGACTGATAGGTATAATAAGTGTTAATTTAGCAAGTTTGCAACTTGTCTGGAATTATTGACTTAAAACTCAAATGAATAATGGGCACAAGTGATTAGTCCATTCCAGATCATTTCAAAACTTCTGATTGTCATTGTTAAATAAATGGGATCCAATTAAGCATTTCTGCTCGGGAGTGAGGCTTACTAAGTGACTCAAAGTCAGTTTGTCTTCAACCTTAACACCCCTCGAAGAATTGTGGTGATAAATTAGAGCCAGTGGATTTATGCACACTGTTTTAAATGCTAGGATGAACAATGTCTACAACCAATAAATATATTTTTCCAAATTATTCAGCCAGGTCATTTGATTGACTGATTAGAAAAAAAAACCTATTGTGAATCACCACCAAAAACAAGTACTGGTGGCTTGTAACACCTTTCAGAACACTACATTTAAATGAGCACAATATTATATTACTAAAATGAAATAATACTTTAGAACATGCATAGAGCCAAAGATATAATAGACATTACAAAAATAAATAAATTACAGAAATAAATGATATAATAACAACTGAAACAATCTTCTAAGCAATTATGTTTAATTACATTTATAAAATGTCATTAAATTGTAGCTGTTATTATGAGGGGAGGGAGAAATATTCCATAAAGCAAGCACAACAATCCCCAAAATAATACCTGTGAACCTCCATCCCCTGCTTACCTTGAGAAAATTGGGGGAGGAGGGTGTGGCATTAAAAGGATTTTCTAGGACATCCATTTTGGGTATATGGGAATTGGTTGAAGATGGTTTTGGATCCTTATTTATTGTAGCAATAGCAATAGTATTTAGACTTCTATACCGCTTCACAGTGTTTTTACAGCCCCCTCTAAGCTGTTTACAGAGTCAGCATTTTGCCCCTAACAATCTGGGTCCTCATTTTACCGACCTTGGAAGGATGGAAGGCTGAATCAATCTTGAGCCGGTCAACATCAAAGTCCAGGCAGTAGGTACAGTCAACCTGCAATACTGCATTCTAACCACTGAGTCACCATGGCTCCTAGATATTGAGTAGATATTCCTAATGTTCCTTTTCCTAAACAATTCTGCTTATCATAGTAATTTTGCTATGTTTTTTTTTCTAGCGCACATTTTAAAAAATCCCAAAGATAGACAGTCAATCCCAAAGGAAATCAACCCTGCCTTTTCTTTGGAAGGACAGATATTTAAGCTGAAACTCAAATGCTTTGGCTACCTAAGGAGAAGAGAGGACTCCTTGGAAAAGACCCTGATTGTTGTGGTTTGCGGGAAGCCTGTGCAGACGGCAGTGGAATTGGACAGTGGGGGAGAACGGGGATCAGTCCTGGAGTCTGAGAAGGTCTCGGACGAGGGTCCTGTGTCCGATGCAGAGATGGGGCCACGACCATCTGGGAGTGGAGTGCTGCCTCCAGAGCCTCCAGATTCTAGCAGCAGCAAGGCAGAGGAACAAGGGGAGCCTGTTCCCAGTGTGCATGTATGCAGACCTGCTAGAAGGCAAGAGCAGCTGCGACAAAAGGAGTGACTCAGGAGTAAGGCTTGGAGGTGATTGCCCCTCCCATAAGGTATAAAGGACAGGCAAAGGTGACAAAACCTTTGCAGGAAGCAAAGTCATTTGTTCTGTTTGGATTAATCCTTGAAGCTCTGTGTGGACTTTGTACTTCGGTTGGTTTTTTATAGTTCATTTGGCACTTTAGTTCTTGGCAGCAATTCAAAGGAGAGAAGGGACTGTTTGGGACTCAATACAGGCTGGGAATGAACATAATTCCCAGCATTGAAATAAAACAAGAGTTGCTTTAACTAAATGTGTGCTTAATTACGGTCTCAGGAAGCCTTGGTCAGAACACTGATGTTGGGAAAGATGGAGGGGAAGGGGACAGCAGAGGATGAGATGGTTAGATAGTGCCATCAATGCAATGAGAATGGATTTGGGCATGTGGAGGAAACAGTGGACGACAGGGGTGCCTGGCATGCTAACATCCTTGGAATTGGGAAGGCACAACTTGTGACTGAAAACAACAAATATGTGGGAATAGCTTTCAGAGTCAGGGATGTGTGAAAGAGGGAAGAGAAGGAATGGCCAGAGATGCTATCACTTTCTATTTCTCTACATTCTAATAAGGTAGAAGATGTTGACCTACCACCCAGAAAGTAGCTTGAAGAATTTGTGCTACACTACATCCATTTCTCAGAAACATGAACTATGGCGACCTTGAGAAGGAAATGAAAGCCTGCTTAAAAGATCAGAGAAGGTCAGTATTACCAAGCCTTCTCTGAATAGTGTCACCTCTGATCTATCCCTGTTGTATCTTGCCAGATGAAGAAACATTGGCTGGTGTAGCTATAAAAGCAGCTATTAAATAAAAAGATGGAGAAAAGAACAGCCAGTCCCATTTTCACTCATGTTTCTTCATAAAAAGAACATTCTTCTCTCTCCCTCATCAACTCTTCATCAGCACATGATTCCAAGATATCTCAAGATGCCCTTCACTCCAGTCTGTTTATTTTATTTATTTAGTTGTGGTTGTTTTTGACAACAGGATCCTGGTGATAAGTTTTTTTACAGATGTACCCTTGAAACGAATTGAATTCCTTTCCAGATACTTTTTTTTTAAATGTTCCCCACATGACTCATAATTACATTTTGCAAGCTGAAGTTCAAGAGTGTGAGAGAGAAAGAAACAGAAGTGGACAGAAGTAATTTTGACCTCCCCCTGTGATGAAGAGATCTTTGGTACAGTCCAAGAAATTTCAGGTTAAGTTTGTTTGTTCCGGGGATCTGCAACTCTCTCTGCATGTTTGCCTGGCGGGACAGGAACTCGATGGCTTAAAGTCATTTTAATTCAGGTGAGTTAATAGTATTGAGTTGTATCCTGTTAACTTTGTAGGATTTCTTCCTTGAAATGCAACATTTATTAAATTGAATCTTCTAACATATCAGTTGGGACTACAAGCACTGCAGGACAAAAATCCAGAAGAACAAGAGTTGGTGGCAGTTATATCTTTAAAAAAACCCAACTTTGTTATCCCAAATGGTTATTTGAATTTTTTAAAAGTTCAGAAGTGGAGCTGAACTTGTTTAAAAAGTGAACAAAAATAGTTCATACCAAGCGTGGAAGACTGAAAATCCAGCTTTAGGGCAAAAACCACATTTCTGTAGAATTAAGAGTCTGGCTGTGAAAAGAGGATTATGTGTTGATTTTACTAGGGAATTGTTTACACTAAATTTTGTTTGCCTCTAAGGATAGAAAGAGAACAATGCAACGAGACTGGGAAGTGCTTGAAGAATATCATCTGTGTTCAGGCTACAAGCAGACCTTTGTTTGCTATCTCTAAAAAAACTACCTTAACCACAAGGAGATTTGCACCCTAAAAGTTTCAAAGGACAATTTCACAAAACTCTTCAACTGAAACAACAACCTTTGAAACACAGAAACTATGGGAAGACAGATTTGCCGGTTCATCTGTGTTTTCTCACAAATAGTTCTTCATAATTATTGAGAGGAATGTCATACATCAGAAACTTCAATAAAGGGTAGCTTTGTGCAATTATACACCACAATTTCCAGATGCAGATTTGTTTTCAGATGTATTGGTTTCATATTGTAAATTATCTGCTTTCCTCCCTTTTTATAATGAAAAGTGACCTATAAATAAGAATGAATAAATGGAAGTTGATATCTTCTGTTAGGAAATATCTAGGTTCATACATTGCTCTAAGCCATAATATTGATTTGGTTTAAGTCAGCATATTCTTGAAAAACAGCATCTATGATTTGCAAATTATGGTTTATGGCAGGGTTGGGTGACCAGTTGCCCCCAGAAGTAGTTTGCTGAGCACAAAGAAATGAATTCAGCACAAATTCATCACTGAGCCTTAAATTAGATACAAACCACTGAATGTTAATGGGACAATTTAGGTTCTTGCAGGGTGGGGAGAGGAACAAGTTAGGATTATGAGTAGGGTTTAGAATGTTGTGCAGTTCCTGCTGCTGCTTTGTTCATAGAAGTTTAGTTAAAGGAAGCACTGCAACGTGACAATCTAGCAGTGAATATGATTGTTATGTTCATAAAAAGAGTGATTGTCAAATCATGGTCAACTCCAAAGAAGATTCTTATGGCAGAATCAGTTCTGCAGCTGCAGAAACCAACTTCTTTTGCTTCAGTGCTTCTCTAGGATGGAAATCAGAAAATGATCTATAATATCTTGCCTCCCATTGATTATACTAACTTGGGTTCATTATCAAATGGAAACAGGAGGGATAACTGAATGCAGAATAACAGAGTTGGAAGGGACCTTGGAGGCCTTCTAGTCCAACCTCCTGCCCGAGCAGGAGAGCCTCTATTTTTCCAGACAAATGGCTATCCAATCTCTTAAAAGCCTCCAGTGATGGAGCCCCCACAACTTCCAGGGGCAAACCATTCCACTGATTAATTGTTCTCACTGGCAAGAAATTTCTAGGTTGCTTCTCTCCTTTGATTAGTTTCCATCCATTGTTTCTTGTCACGCCTTTAGGTGGTGGAGAATGGCAGCCTCTCAAATATTGGAAAGCTGCGATCATGTCGCCTTTATTCCATCTTTTCACTAGATTAGACATACCCAATTCCTGCAACCGTTCTTCATGTGTTATAGCCTCCAGTCCCCCCTCATCATCTTTGTTGTTCTTCTCTTTCTAAAGTCTTGACATCTTTTTTATATTGTGGTGGCTAAAACTGGATGTAGTATTCCAGGTACAATCTCACTAAGATTTTATAAAGTGGTACTCCTTCACATGATATTGATTCTATCTATTAATGTACCCTAGGATTGCGTTGGCTTTTTTGGTGGCTGCTGCACACTGCTGGCTCATATTTAAGTCATTGTCTACTAGAATACCTGTCACAATTACTGCTATTGAGCCACCTTTCACCTAATCCATACCTGTGCGTTTGGTTTTTCTTGCCTATGTGTAAAACCTTACTTTTACTACTTGGATTGCCTTACTGCATCCTGGGTTAAAATAAGCTAAAACTAAGGGGAGGAGAAGGAAATAGAGGAAAGAAAAAAATTATATTAAGAATCCATCTTATTTTCACAAAAGAAAGGCATTTTACAAATTGATCAAAAATGCACACAATATCTTGAATCTATACTTTAATCTCAGAAATGTTAATTTCTTTCCAAGTGAAACAGTCTCCACTTACTACAATTCTTGACCTTGGAACAGATTTGGACTTATCGGTCACCACATAGACCAAAAGTATTCTGTGTTAAGATTCTACTTTGCAATTTGTCAAACATTTCCTTTCTCTGTGAAGGTTACTTTCTTTTTACTCTATGTTATGCTTGAGACTTTTTCTAAAATTTCTTTTGGAAGCCTTATGTCTAATACCTCCTTCCATCACTCCATAGCCCTTCGTGTATCTGCTCATTCTTCCCAATCTGAAATATTTTATGGATCTGCTACTTCCATTGCTATTCGCTTAAAGGTAGAAAAGTTAGAGAAGTCCTATAGAATCAGGACCTTTCTAACTTTCAGGATGGTGGTGAAGATATATACTTTTAAGAGGACAAGAGGTATTTTCAGGGTAAAACAGATTATTTCCTTTTCTTACTTTCCAAAAACCCATCAACAAAATTCATTCTATAATTCTTCCAAATAACAGAGTTGGAAGGGATCTTGGAGGTCTAATCCATTCCCCTGCTCAAGTAGGAGACAAGTGGCTGTCCAGTCTCTGCAGTGATGGAGCACCTACAACTGCTGGAGGGAAGACGTTCCACTGGTTAATTGTTCTCCCTGATGGGAAATTTCTCCTTCCTTCTAGGTTGGATATCTCTGATTAGTTTCCATCCATTGCTTGTTGCCTTCAGGTGCTTTGGCAAACAGGTTGATCCTCTCTTCTTTGTGGCAGTTCCTTAGATACTGAAACACTTCTATCATGTCACCCCTAGTCCTTCTTTTCATTAAACTGGACATATCCAATTCCTGCAAGCATTCTTCGTTTTTTTTAGCTTCCAGAGGTCCCTTTTCTCAAAGCTTCAGAAAATTGGACTAGTGAAGACTTTGTCCCTAAAAAATTAAGTTAGAATGTATTTTTTTTACTTCCATTTAGTTCTGTCCGATTCTTGGAGATGGCCCAGACAAATACCTGCAGTTTTCTTAGCAAGGTTTTTTAATGGGTTGCCATTGTCTCCCTTCTAGAGAGAAAGTTACTGGCTCAAGGTCACCAGCTGGCTTTGTATACCTAATGCAGGACTAGAACTCACAGTCTCCTGGCAGGACTAGAACTCACAGTCTCCTAGCCTGGTGCCTTAACCGCTCCACCAAACTGTCTGTAGTATTATTGTACCTACCCTTAGATTACTATCTTGGTAGACTGAAGAGAATTTTCCCTGGAACTTTTTAAATAGCCTCTTATGTATAAAATAGATTGGTAGTTTGGCCAAAGCAGGATTTTTAATATTATGCCAGTGAGTTTTATTGCCAGATAATAAGCTCCAAAATACTCAAGAGAACAATTTCATGTTCCATTTTTTAAAAATATTGATTTGGTTTGTGCCTGCTTTTATTCTCCACCCCATCTGGAGATGTGCGAATCACTAATGATTTTATCTGATTAATATCAGAAAAATAACCTTTTGAGTTCTACATGACACTTTCCCTATGGGCTTAATTCATGCAGAATTTTGTACCCAATTATGTTTGTAAAGTCTCTGGGTGCATTATGCACCTGCTCCGAATTTACATATCTTTTAACATAAATTAAACATTGAACAACAGGAGATAGTCCTGCTTTCATTGTTTAAGACTTATTTTTAAAATCCAGATTTCATCGATTGAATTCTTTTTCTAATTCTCACTATTTACATGCAATTTTCAGTGATAACAATTGCATGTAAATTTTTATGGATCTTTATTTAAGGAAAGAAAAACCTTAGCACCCCATCTGAAACTAGCCTTTCTGCTGTTGCAAAATTTGATGGGGCCGGTATGTCCATACTCTTACTCACGACCAACCTACTCAGCAATGGATCAACATCTGAGAAGCCCTGACAAATGGCCAGCTCAAATGTTCCCCTGATGCATAAATCAAAATCCATTTTTAATACAACTTCTATTCTATCATAACTATTGTACACTTTGTATTTCTAGCAAGCTGGCTGGTGGATTTTTCTAATATTCTTCTTTTAAGCAGGCTTTCCATAAAAACCTTTTCTGCAAAGGAGTTTTGTATAAATGACATTTTGTTGCAGTCAGCTTCACAAGGAGTTACACACTATGGAAATCATGTCCTGTGATTGCAGTTTCTTAAAGCTATGTGTTGCATAGCAGTGGCCCAATCAAATTGGCAGTCACCTATTGCTATATACAAGATTTTGAATGAAGACTCATTGGACAGTTGGGGGTGGCATGGATAGAGGTGCTGGAGAACAAAACTCTGTGTGATCCAATATTTGAGGGGTTGCCACAAAGAGGAAGGGGTCAAATTATTTTCCAAAGCACCAGAGGGCAGGACAAGAAACAATGGTGGGAAACTAATCAAGGAGAGAAGCAACCTTGGAATTAAGGAAAAAGTTCCTAACAGGGGCAACAATAACCAGCTTGCCTTCAGAAGTTGTGGGTTTCCTTTGTCACTGGAGATTTTAAAGAGACTGGACGGCCATTTGTCTGGAATGGTATAGGGTCTCCAGCTTGAGCAGTGGGTTGAAGACCTCCAAAGTCCCTTCCAGCTCCTATTCTATTCTGTTCCTCCACTCTACTCTACTCCACTCCACTCCATTCCATTTCTACAAAGCTAGGCTAGTCTGCTGTTTTGTGGTGAAATAGAATTGCTTTCCCATCATTATTGTGGAAATAACCTGGTTTATTTCTAGTTTTTGTATGTAATGGTGTATATGTATATCATTTTATCCTTTTGTTGTTATTCAGTTGCTAAGTCATGTCTGACTCTTTGCGACCTCATGGACAATAGCATTCAATTCCCCCCACCTCCAGTGTCTTCTGGAATTTGCCCAAATTCATGTTCACTGTGTCGATGACACTATCTAAATCATCTCATCTTCTGCCGTCTCTTTCTCCTTCAGTCTTTCCCAGCATCATTGTCTTCTCCAAGGAGTCCTCTCTTTTCCTTAGATGGCCAAAGTATTTGAGCTTCAGCTTCAGGATCTGCCCTTCCAAAGGACAGTCAGGGTTGGTTTCCTTTAGCATTGACTGATTGGGGTCTCCTTGAAGTCCAAGAGACTCTCGAGAGTCTTCTCCAGCACCATAATTCAAAACCATCAGTTCTTTGGCGCTCAGCCTTCCTTATGGTCAACCTCGCAAAGCCCTACATCATTGCTGGGAAAATCAGAGCTTTGACTATATGGACCTTTGTCGACAAGGTGATATCTTTGTTTTTTTGTCCAGATTTGCCATAGCTTTTCTCCCAAGGATCATTTCATGGCTGTAGTTGCCATCCTCAGTGATCTTGGAGCCCAATAAAATAAAATCTGTCACTGCTTCCATTTCTTCCCCTTGTATTTCCCAGGAAGTAATGGGACCGGATGCCATGATCTTGCCTTAGATAGCAACATAGTTTTGGCCTCTCCTGCTGATCCATTTTGGAATTGGGTGGAATTGATTGTCCGAATTCTGTCTTTTATTAAAAATACAATCTATTATCTACCAGAGAGGTTGACGCTTTATAGGAGATGGAGGGAGATGGGCAGTTAAGAAATATGGATAAATGATAGAGACAGACGGACAGACAGACAGACAGACGATAGACATGAGCGATAGGGATGGATGGACAAATATACAGTAGGGGAGAAGAAGAAATTACATTAATTATTAGATGTACAGCTCTTCCTTAGTGTGTGACCATCATCTGTGCTGCACTAATATTTGTCTGATACCATCCATCATCTAAGATCGATTGTGAAATGATTCTTTGCTCCGGTATATAGGCTGCTATTGAGTCAAAATGATTTTATGACAAGCTACTTCTGCAAAACAGCGTATCCATTTTCTTCAGACAGAGACCATGGGTTCTACCTCAACTAAGCCCTTTAAAAATCAGAAGTATGAAGACCTCAAGCGACAGTGCCTTGAGCAGAAGAAGCTCTTTGAAGACCCTGAATTTCCTGCTACTGATGTTTCTCTCTTCTATCTTAATCCACCACTAGCAAATGTGAAGTGGAAACGCCCAAAGGTATGTGAGATATCAGTCTAGTTGCCCCATTATTTCTAAATCTAATTTTTAAAGAACCTTGTTCTTGCTCAACTTTGTTATGTGCCCAAGCTTTGTGCTGTCCATTTCACACCTCACTATCTTTAAAGCTTTCCTATCATATCTGAACCAGGGGGATGTTTTATCCTGTGGTAGGATGAATTTCGGAGTTGCTAAACCATAGCTGTACCAGTACAAATTAAAATTCCAAAAAAGATTACTTACAGTTGTTTGGACAACTGAAGAAAAGTATCCAGTACATTGCTTCAGAATTCAAAACTCAGTTGCTTTAAAATTTGATCATTTTGTTAGTCAACACATTTTGACATGAAAATTTTGTATTCATTATTTGTTTGGTGCTCATTGTGCCAGCTAAAAACTTGTTAATGTCAGCTGCTTTGTTGACATTTGGTTTGTTTAGTACTTGCCATTTTTAGTACTCATCATGGCTCCCCAAATCAATTAACTGCGAGTACTGAGATACCACTGTATAAGGTTCCATGGGCTAAAGACAAAGAAGCAAAGACAGGTCCAGGAGCCAAGATAGATTTGAAAGAATATCTAACTTTAGCTATAGTTTTGGTAGAAATATTTTGTCACCTCTCCGAAATTCAAATATGTTGGTGTTGCTTATGTGGGTTGGGCTGAACCTATGAGTATTTTGCTTTCCTAGATTAGTGGATACTAATTGTGATTTAAGTCCCATGCTACAATCTGATTTAGTTGGAACTAAGGGTTATCTTCCCCCAGGAAAGCACCTAATGAGTGATTATGACAATCTTTATTTCTCCATTCAGTGAGTATGATTATCAGATGAGTCTCATTGATCCCATTTCAAGATTCCAATCCCACTCTAGTATTTTAATAGTTCACTGATATAAAGATGAGAGGTTATGCTTGCTTATTTCTCTTTGCTTTCTGCAGATCAGAAGGAGAAAAGCATATTGAGATTTTAACAATCCAGATGGAAAATTACCTTCTGTGTGCTTTGCTTTTCCAATTAAGACATAAAGCTGAATGCAAGAACTAATGGGAAAGGCTGGTTCAGATCAGAAACAGAAATGCAGTAACCACAGGTTGTTGTTGTTTTTTTAGATGGCATGTGGTATCCATCCCACCCATTATTTTTCTTCCCTGGATTGTCTTTTAGGCCGCTGTTTAGAAACTCCACATCTGATTATGTTTTTGTCTATTTGAATGCCATTTTTGAAGGTTTGTCTTTGGACATCACTTTTGATATTTTGGGGGCAAATAAAAATCAAAATAAAATACAAATCAAAAAAATCAAAATACAAATCAAAATACAAGTCACTTCTATGGGATATACAGTTTGGTATACAGGTAGTCCTTAACTTAACAACAGTTCATTTAGTGATAATTCAAAGTTACAATGGTACTGAAAAAAGTGACATGACTGTTTTTCACACTTACAACCTTTGTAGCATCCCCATGGTCACATGATCAAAATTCATATGCTTGGCAAGTGATTCGTATTTAAGATGGTTGCAGTGTCCTGGGATCTCACGTGGTCAGCTTTTGTAACCTTCTGACAAACAAAGTCTATGGGGAATCCAGATTCACTTAACAACCATGTTACTAACTTAACAAATGCAATGATTCACTTAACAACTGTGGCAAGAAAAATTGTAAAATGGGGCAAACTCACTTAACAAATGTTTTACTTAGCAACATAAATTTGGGGTTCCATTGGGGTCGTAACTCGAGGACTGCCTGTACAGCCAATTCATTTTATGCAATCTTTCCAGAGCAATTTTTTTGGCAATTTTCTTAACTTTTTTTTACTCTTCTAAAGCCAAGGAAGTGAGATTGGCCTTATTCATGAAAATGCGTATGCAACTTTAAGGTTTTTCCTTAATAGCAAAACTGCCTGCCTGGTTTGCTTAGAGCAGGGGTGTCAAACTTGACTTCACCAAGGGCCACATCAGTGTTGTGTTTGACTTCACAGGGCTGGGGCCGGGGTGGGCATGACATCACTTGTGTGGGGGCACCTGTGGTGGCCTGAGTGCTTTGCCAGTGAAAATGGGCTCCCAAGTTCTGTTTGGGCTGCGACTGCCTCCTGCAACCTTCTGCCAGAGAAAAAGGGGCTCTCCCAAGTGCAGCCCTTCTGACGTCCATTTTCGTGGGCAAAGGCACCGCAGGCCAGTCCTTCATTGTTTCCAGGGTGTCCCTGTGGGCCAGAGCTAAGTACCCTGTGGGCCCAGATACCCCTGGATTAGAGTGACACTAACACTGGTTCTTTTTGAAATGCTTCCTGGAATGATCACATGATGTGTGCTTGCATGCTCAGTTAAAGAAGTGCTGAAAAACAAAAGTATCTGCAGGGAATCCTAAATAACTGGAACCATTTTCTTTCTTTTAAAAGAAAGAAAAAACCAAGAATTCATTTTTTTTTTAAGCCAAGCCAAAATGTTTGCAATGGGAAAGACAGATAGTGGTTAGACTTTGATCTTTGCTAACATTCATCCTACCAAGAATTCACTGGGAATCAAACAACTATCTGTTATCAACAGGCACAATTCTTTTACATTTCTGATCGGCCCATGTTTTAAAAATGTTTCTCACCTTGATAATATATTCTTCACATTCAGCTAACTAGGAAGGGGTGAAAAGAAATCGGTCTCTCATATTTTCTCTATATAGTTATCTAGGTTGCACCTCCTAGACTTACAGGAAAAAAATGAACATGTGGTTTGGCTTAAAATTATGTTTTTAAAAATCTGCAATGTTTTTTTAAATATGCATGAATATATTAAAGTGAAGTGTCTGCAAAATGCTTATAAAAATTGTCCTCACTGACTGACGACAATAGGGACTGGCAATTCTGTCAATAAGCAGTGTGGTTTTTATGTGAATATGATCTAAGGGTCTTTGTAACTTCTGATTAGAGCCATCAAACCCAAATTTCAGCATACAAACAGGTTTCAGATATTTTTGCTTTATAGCATCCCCAGAACCCATTACCTTTATCTCTCATTATCCTATTTATTAAAAACAAAGGAAAACTCTAATCATTTACAGGTAGAATTGTACATTCACAACTGAACCCAAAATTTCCATTGTCCACTTGCATAACAAAAATTAGGACTCAAGCATAATTGATCCCAAAGCATCAATCAGACAGTTGTAAAATGAGTTTTGTCCCATTGTTGGACCTTTCTTGCTACAGTTGTTAATTTAGATTCCCCATTGACTTTTCTTATCAGAAGGTCACAAAAGATGATCACATGATGCAGGGACACTGCAACAGTCATAAATATGAGTCAGTTGCCAAATGTGTGGATTTTGATCAAGTGACCATGGGAATGCTGCAACAGAGTGTGAAAATGCTCATAAGTCACTTTTTTCAGTGCCATTGTAAATTTGGCCACTAAACAAACTGTTGTAAGCTGAGGACTACCTGTATTTGAATTTCCCAGTTTTCCCCAGTTTCATTTCTAGTCTACTATAAGTTTGATTGTCCAGTTTAGGTAGAATATGACTGTTTTGGTTTCCAGAAATCTGTCCTTTCTTTGCTGAATAGCTGGAGACCAATCCATCAAGGAGAGTTACTTATAGGCTCTGCCTTGTTTACCCATCTGCACTTAATTTAACTGTTGATTCAACTCAGATTGTAATGTTTTGTGTCAACTGTGTTTAGATCCTCATTTTTGTTATGCCAGTGAACAACATGGCATAACTGATTTTGTTTGTAGGCAGTTTCTGGAATTAGAACAAAGGGAGAAGCTTTTTTTCTACATTCCAACTCTAAACCCTCAAAACATCTATTGTCCTGTGGGTTTGGGGGAAACTAGGCTATTTCCTTAAATATGAGCCAGCTGTGAGCTGCAGCCACCCAAAAAACCCAATGCAGTACTAGTGCACTTGGTGGCCACAATATAAAAAAGATGTTAAGTCTGGAAAGGGTGCAGAGAAGAGCAATAAAGATGTTTAGGGGGCTGGAAGCTACAACACATGAAGAATAATTGCAGGAACTGGGTATGGCTTGTCTAGAGAGTAGGGGTGACCTGATAACAGTGTTCCAATATTTGAGGGGCTGCCACAAAGAAGGGGTGGTCAATCTGTTCTCAAAAGCACCAGAAGGCAAGACAAGAAGCAATGGATGGAAAGTAACCAAGGAGAGGAGTAACCTAGAACTAAGGAGAAATTTCCTGATAGTGAGAACAATTAACCAGTGGAACGACTTCAGAAGTTGTGGGTGCTCCATCACTGGAGGCTTTTAAGAAGAGATTGGACAACCATTTATCCAGAATGGGAGGGTGTCCTGCTTCAGGAGGGGGTGGACTAGAAGACCTCCAAGGTCCCTTCCAACTCTGTTATTCTGTTATGTTATTCAGTAACTTGCAGCTACTTGTTCTGTTCCTGCATATCTTTTGATATGTGTTTTGGTTAAAATAAAAGCTGCCTTTTTGAAGAACCTGCAATTGTGGACATCACAGTGTTTTTGATTGCTGTTCTGGGAATGTTTACTCGTCAAGACACTTTCATTGAGTCTCCTTTTGTACCTTACAAAGTTTAAAAATTTATTGCAACCTATTTAAAGGTTTATATACTCATTATGTGTGCATTTAACATACTAATACTAATTGAATTGGTATATGTCAGAAACCACTTCTACTTCACTGCCAAATGTCATTCCTTTTTTGGACGAATCTTTGCTTAAACAGAAAAGAAAGCAACTCTTGAAATAGGGCCCAAAAGAACCAGCCAAGGCACATCTAACCAGATGAAGTTGAAGCTGAGCCAAACAGCAATCTGGATAAGAGGAATTGAATAAGTAAAAGCAGTCAAGAGATCACCAGTCTTCCCTGCATCTAGAGGGATGCAAATACACAAAGGATGGTTTTGAAATTAAGAAATTTTGTAAAATATGCTACCTTATATACAGCACCTTACTTAATGAACCCCAGAGCTAAGTATTCACACATATATATATTTCCCTGGTTGAAAGATGCTTAAAGTGC